TATTTCCGTAATTACAAAAAATATTTCGTTTTAATGAAATTTTTTTTTTTGTTGCATAATTTATGATCGCCACTGTATATTAAAAAAAAAATTTGGCATATTGTGTGATGGCTAAAAAAATAGTTTTTTTATATGTTTTCTCGAAGATCGACTGGATTCCAACGTCAAACGAAATCAATTTCAGTCAATATATAGTTGGATCATTTTGGTATTAAATTTCGCTTATTCCATGAACCGTTAATGTTCGAAATGTAATGAATGTTTGACTATTTATTTTCTTTTTCTTTAACGTTAACAATGGATTATAAAAAAAAATTTTTTGTTATATTAAGTTTCGAAGAGAGATCGACTGTTCCGAGATCGACTGGATACAATTAAACTTATAAAGCTCAAAAAAAAATGCAATTCCGATTATGAAAATCGCAAAATTAACAATATTTGACTCCCATTTACTTAAATGTTGAATGAAAAAAAAAGTAAATAAAAAAAGAATTAGGATACCGAAATAGATTAAAGGTGATTTCCCCTGGAAAATTAATTTCGAGGGTATTATACAGTATATAAGATCTCTGATTTTTTCGACAAGTGAAAAAAAATTAAATCACTATGAAGATAGCGTTACTATACATTTTTATATATCTTTCATCAGCAGTTATTGCTGATTGGATCACCGTAGAACATGATTTTAACATGTGCGACCAGGTCGTACCTTCTAATCGTGCGGCGTTTCATATTGACGATGGTGGCATTACTTATTCGACGTCACTTTTGGTCAGGGATGTTCAAACTATAAGGCATGAGCCACCTTTAACAACTTTAAACATCACTATGTGGGGATGTACTTATGATTGTAACTTCAGCTTTATGGTGAAAATAAACAGAGATGGTCTTTCGGTTTCATCGTATACCAAAAAAAACTTTGATAACTACAAATGTAATTTAAGTAATTATACGATGAAACTTATTCCGACACCTAAAATTACATATAAGGGATCCACACCTGACTCGAATCATGTATTTCCAACTGATTTAACTGCAAAATATTGCAGTGAAGGCAAACACCCGGATGCACCCGAATGGGCTATTAATCAAACAGAACATGTAGCCGAATGCATCGATTATTTGACTGGTAATGAAGTTGGAACATATGCTGCATCCCTTCAATTCGGTTCAGGCAGTTCGTTCAATCCTGATGGTTATGGTGTTGCTATATATCACATGATTGATTCGGCAAACAAGCTATTCAATTATTGGGAGAGGCACCATCGAGGGTTCCATGATGCCCTTGATGAACTAAGTGTTAAAATGACTCCCGATAATCTAAAAGAATTGATCCCACCGCCACCGCCACCGCCTAAAGAAAATTTGCTTGCAGAGATTTTAATTCCTTTAGCCGTTTTCATTGCCATCATTGCTGTTCCTATGGCTGGATCAATTTTTGATGTCGGCGCAGCATGCATAGGTAGGATCGTGGCAAGCATCTCCGAATTCGCTGCCGAATTTGGTGCTTCAGATGATGCTCTAGCAACGTCAGTTGAAGGATCAATAGCCAGAAATGCGGCGGTACGTTGGCAATCTGCCGCGCAGGAAACTCAGGCCGCTCGTGAGGCAGAACGGCAATATTTAGAATACCTACGAGTTAGCCATTATGTAGAACCGTGCATTTACGAAGGTTCAGGTTGCGAAGAAGCCGGAATTAGAGCAATTTCAGCATTCTATCAAGAATCAAAGAACACGAATATTGCAATAATCCTTGGAGCTTTGAATAGGGCCGGCCTACGTGCAAAAAGAGACACGATGCCGGTGGATAATTTAGGAGTTTTTACGACTAACCTGGTGAATATGTACTTTCTTCCAGGTTTGATGGAAAATGTTCATCAATCATTTATCGGCAATGATCAAAAGTATGAAGATATATCATCATATCTATCAGCCGCAAGTGAGCATCTCCAATTCCATTTTGAAGATACATTAAACAATAATTTTTTTGCTGGAAACAAGTCAATATTAGCCAGTTTTACTGTTAATCAAGGGGTAAATTATGATCAAATACTTGCAAATGACGATGACGTATATAATTCTATTAAACAAAGTACGTATAATAATATGGCAGCATCAATAATAAGCGCTACCTTACAAAATTTTAATGTTGAAATATGTGACCCAATACCTTCATTTTGCGGACAATCTTGTGATTCTGGTCATATTTATTGTCCAATAGTCGGAAATGATACTAATAGATGCGTAATAACTGCCACAGATGGCCAAATAAATGAACTTAAATTTCTTCGAGACCCCTTTGATATATGTTCAACTGATAATAGTACTAGTTGGAATATAACTCATAATGCCAATTGTGATATTAAACAATTCCAATGTCAAAAATAGGTCAAACGTGAATGCAAAATTTTAGTACGTGGTAAATATCCAATTATTTAAGTAGAAAAATATTTTGGAGGCCAATAAAGAATAAAATTTTAATAATATAATTAATATAATTCTTGAAGAAAAGTAAAAAAATGAACAATAATTTGATAATTTTAAATATCAAATTTTTCTAAATTTTTATGATTCAACGATTTTCCGCAAGAAACAAGATTATTCATATTTTGGGATTTGTCACGTATCTGAAAATAAAATATATAGGATTAGCCCTCATAATTTTTAAAAACTATACATTCCAGTTCATCCGAATAATTCATAATTCGAATTTTGAAGGAGGATTTTTAATACGAAGCGCAGCGCAAAAATTAAAAAAAAAATCAAGATTAAAAAAAAAAAATTAAAAAATAAAACATAATTTAGAAAAAATTCGTGATATTAAAAAAAATCAAATAAAAAAAAATAAATAAATAAAATTAACCACCGTTAATTTGACCATAGGTTCAGATTATTTCTTTGCCTTTCCCGTTTTATTAAAAAATTTATTTAATTAAATGATTAATGAATACGTTGTATAACTAATTATATCAAACATCCAATAAAATGCTTAGCCTTGCGGGTCAATTTTTTTTAAAAAATAAATAAATTACTGTAAAAAAAAAATATATATATACCGTATTAAAAAATTAATTAAAAAAAATCAGAAATGAAATAAAAAACTGAATAGAAAAATTTAAAATTATAAAATTTAACTACTGAAATATAAAATTAAATGTTTTAAATTTAATAAAATAAAAAAATCAAATAATAATAATTTATATAAATTTAAAAAATTGAAAAAAATTCAATTAGATAATTCAAATAGAAGAATTAAAAAAATAATTATAAATTGAATCAAAAAAAATTTATTTAATCACTAACTTATATATAAACTTAAAAGAAAAATACTGTAGAATGATAAATCTAAAATATTTTTTGATATATAAAAGAAAGATTGATTGTTTTTAACAGCTTTTTCTTTATATGTCCATTTTTTTTTATTACATTTTTTACTATCATTAATTTATTACAATATTAGATTAAAAAAATTTACAATATGTAGCGAGCGAAAAATGTACGAACATAGTTATAGCAAACCTCCCATATACCTTTTATACAGGTCCTTTATACGAAATAAGTATTACCTTTACGACATTATTTTTTCATGACGACAAGTACAATCTAAATGTTTACAATATAAAATATAAATTATCATCATTTCTCATTATAAAAATATATTTTTTTTATTTACATAAAAAGATAAAATAAAATAAATTACCTGAACGATTATCGTCGTCATCATTTTTACTAGGTTGATTATTTTCATTTATTCCTTCTACTCCTATGGGAGACATCAATTATTCTTCTAAGGTTTGCTATAAAAAATCGAGTTACGAACATATGATCCATAACTCGATTATAACGCTATTAGCAAACCTTCCATATTATTAAATTCTTTCCAAAGTACGTGTATAAGCCCGGTTTTGTTCGGGTAGTTGAAAAGGAAAGGTCGTAATCAGGGTTGCGAAAGCTAAATAAGCGAGGTATCTATGAACAGCGGCTAAAAGTTGTCTTTGTTGTTGGACTAACGGTTTTCAACTTCCAAGCTTGCAATATGCTGTCATTGAGTCTCTTACGAAGGTTCCTTTGGCGACGTGTAAAATGAAGACAGACGTTGTGATTTTCCTAAGTTTATAGAAGAGACGTCGTTCACTAAGATAAATTCCGGAAATAAAGGAGTCCAATCAACTACAACAAGCATATCATTATACCAATATATGAGAATTTACCTGCGATAGTGATTTAGTTCAAAATTTGGAATATAAAAAATAAAAAAAATTATTTGGATGTGACGATCATCAAATGGAAAGTATTACAGATTCGAAAACATTTTTTATTTTATGAAAAATTAAAAATAAAATAAATATAATGAATAAAAAATAACATACCTTCTATAATTACAATTTTTTGAATATATAAAGTATAACTAAATATAATTTACTATCTGTAATGCAAAATATATTGAATAAATTAATTTTCATTTTAAACTTTTTAAATTTTTTTCAATTTTATATTATATTTTTTAAAAAAAATAATCAAGTAAAATTTTTGTTAAGTGTCGTTCAATAACATTCGTTGTAATTATAATGCAATAATGCAATAATTCCTCATCTAAAAATTAGAATCAAACAATAATGAAATTAAATGTTTAGAAAGTTTATTTAAAAACACATCCTAAAAGATCGATTTGATTAAAAAGTGTGGCGCAGCATGACAACAAAGAAACTTTTCAGCAATAATGAACATTAAAATGGTATTTTAGTAGCAACATCACCAAATATTTCTTTACTTTAATAAAATAAGAAATCTAGTTATTAAATCATAAAAAAATTAGTGGAAATTTCTTTTCGAAATCATGAATTTTAATTCTATAATGTTAAATAAAAATTTTATTAATAAAGCGGGTGAAATTACTTATGGTTGTTGAATTCTACACTTATTATTATTTCTCATAATATTTTTTAAAAAAGGGAATTGTGATTTTTCAGATTTGACAATTGTTTAATCTTTTTTACCCATTTTTTCTTTCAAACAGGAATGGCCTAAAAATCGAAATTTCTATTTCCTTTATTAAGAACGGGTAATCTTCGTTTGACATTACTTTATTCACTACTTCCTTCAGTTTTTGTTTTTCTTGATTGATACTCGAGAAATAAATTTGAATTTTCCGCTTGTGACATAACTATCTTAAACTTATGTAATATATACAGTTCGTAATTTTCTGGCCGGCATTCTATCCAACTACTTATATGAACGTAGTAAACTTATAAATATTTAATTTCTTCAATTTCTTCGTTCCTTACAATAAAGTTTACCAAAAAATTTTCGTAAACTTAAAAATATCTCTAAGCATTATTGAGATTCCCTTATAAACTCGATCAAAGCCCCGAATGAACTGGTTAATCAATATTATAAAATTGGGCGACGGAAGTTGTTTCATCATCTTCTTTAAAACCCATGGAGGATTTGATAGAATCTTTTATTATCGTTATTCCGAATAATTTTGGGCTCATAGGTATCATCATCGATTTTAATAGAAAACAGAAAATTTATTGTTCCAGTTGAATCACTCCAATCATTTTCATAAATATACCCTCCTTATCTATAATTAGATTGCTTCAAACCACCTGATATGCCATTTAACTTCCTCGAACACCTGGATCACATATTAGAATAAAAAAAATCATTACTATCCGATCATGAGATCATCAATAGAAAAACTACCAGGATTACATGTTCGATATACCAGTTGAAAATTATATGGAATATTTTTAATGTAAGCAGCAGTTTCATGCTTTTCATCTATC